CACTGTGACGCGACAGCGGCTGCGGCTCGGTGACGGTGAATCAGCTGATTTCGATGGAATTCGGCTGCAAATTTTTTCAGCTCTTCAAGCTTCTAAAGTGGAAGGTGAGTTATTCTGACCAATTTTGAATTGTACTGGCTCTCCTTTATTTTTATGTCGATTATTATGCCCTTTTCCTTGTATTTTTCAGGTATTTATTCAAATGGCTTACATTCTTTCAGATTCATTCAGAGTCAGTACAATTCTAAATTGGTCAGAATAACTCACCTTCCACTTTAGAAGCTTGAAGAGCTGAAAAAGTGGGAATTTGCAGCCGAATTCCATCGAAATCAGCTGATTCACCGTCACCGAGCCGCAGCCGCTGTCGCGTCAGTGCAGCGCGGCTGTGCCGCCCCGACAGTACGTAATGATGAGGACTGTATGAGTGCATACGCGCAGTCGTAGCTACCGTAGCGTTATTGGCAAGATGCCTACGGGAAACTCGTCCGAAATTGCTTTCTGAGTCATTAAGAACGAAGGCTTTTCTTCGCAGGTTTTTGACCGTTTCACTTCGTTTTTTCGCCATTTTCCCCACTATATAGCACCTGCTAGCATTTCAGACCGAGTACCGAATTATCGTGCCATATGCCTTTGAAGGAAATTTTTACTCCTGCAACATCTCACCATTAAGGCGCAGTTTCTGGCAAAGTATTAACGCACGAATTAAGAAGATATCAAGCGGAAATGTGTGGTGCAACGGCGAAGAGTACGAAAGTTTGGGATATGGAATGACCACACGACGTGTCCAGAGAGGCTCTAATTGTAAGACAATGATGCTCGCGGAAAAAGTAAACAACAATAGTTTGACCCTAAACAGTTTGGCAGTAAATACGAATGATGGAACACACCTTATAAGGAACGAAATGGTCTCGTTCAATATGTGCCTGCGTTTTCCCGTCTTGAATTTTTGTCAGTTCCCTCTCACTTACATTCGGATGTAAATGTGGATCATCAGCATAAAATACGATCCACAATATAAACACTAAAAACCCAAAAGCTGCATGAAAATAGAAGGAAGACCGCCAACCGAAGCTCGAGTCACATAGCTGAAATCGATAAAATGAATAATGAAAGCATCTTGAATGCTATACGCTAGCTCTGCCCGCTTGGGTACACTGCACAATTCTCCTTAACGCCACTCTTTTAGGCAACACCTT